ATTTTTTTTAGCAGTTATATATATATATATATACATACATACATATATATCCTGGAAGAAATTCCATGCATTCTTTTTAGCAGTTATTAAACAATCAGCAGTCTTATATGTATGTATGTATATATATACATTAATGTATATATACATATTTGGTACAGTAAAATTGATACAGTACAAAAATGGTAATTAATATCTGATTTATCAATCTAGTATACCGGTATACTTGATCTATCAATGTGATATCTAATATATTGCAACAATTATCTATAATTATGCGTGCATATTAACGAGGAGACTTACGCAAAAGCAATTATAAATAACGATATTATTTTCAAATTGTGTATAATATTTTCTACTGTATCTAGCTTTATAAATTAAAAAATTTGCAGAGGTAAAATCTTTGTAATATATTAGATCTAGTTAAGAGCAAGAACAAAGGACATTGTGAAAGACGACTGCCATCGAATTTTACGTGCATACGTCGAGGTCGGTCGTAAGCACGGTGAAAAAAAGTTGCGGAGAAGGTTCTCATGGTAACGAAGGTAATGTCTGCAGTTTTGTTGCTTTCCTTTAACCTTGCCCGAGGCCTTTCCAATCCTTTATCGACACATTTTTCTGATACATTACAAATTTCTTTGCAGTTGCATATATCTATAATTTTTCTCTCTCTCTCTCTCTCTCTCTCTCTCTCTCTCTCTCTCTCTCTCTCTCTATCAAAATATTATAATATTTATAATTAGTTTATTAAATATTTAATAATCTTTATCGAATTATTTATTTACTTGCTACTTTTTGAAAAACACTATATCAAATCGTAATTATACTTGCACTTTATTTTTATTTTTTTCTCGTAATATTGATTAGTTCTTTTGTCATGTTTAATAATTGTTTAATATTTGAATTCCTTTGTAAATTATGTGTAATGGATATAATGTTCTTTCTTTTTCTCGGAATAATGTCATTTTAATTCATTATAAATTGGTATTTAATAACATAATCATTTATGGCAAAAACGTAATTATTTCACTAATATAAAAGAAAAATATTATTATATTGGGAGTACAAATTAGTTCGGTCCGTTTTTTGTGTTCAAAAATGCATTTATTTCAAAACAAAATGAATGAACAGATTAATTAAAGTATTGTCCATCGCTGGCTATTACTTTTTCCAATCTCTCAATTTTCGAATTTGTACACCTAATAACATAATATATATAAATTCCTATTAATTGTATGGATTCTTAAATGTATTTTTTCATTACTTTTTCCCAATTACAATTGCATCTTTGTAACATGTATTAACTAAATTTTATTACTTACAACTAAAAGATAGGAGAAATAATATAATCGATATTCATAGTTAATTTTTACTTCAAGACCGTCGTAAGTAATATTTTACAGTGCTAATGCGATACTGTGATTGGTTCATGACATCTTAAGACAGTCTTAAATATAAGAATCAAGTATGAATACTGGCCTAAATGCGAGTAGAACAATTTTTAATATGCACTATTGAAATGATCGGATTTGTTGATTTTATATAAACATCCATTTTATAATAAAGTCAAGTGTTAAGACATATAGAATCACAATGACTTATATGTATAATGTATCTGTGTATCTCATGGTGTGCATCAGAGTAATCACATTTGCATTTCTCGGATTTTGCTTTAAGCGATGTTTACTGCTATTTATATATATGTATTTACATAAAATACCGTTTCATAGAACGTTTATCATGAGCATAACAAGAAGATTACATTCTTTCGCAATAATATATAATGCTAATTGCATCTTACCGATAACATAGCTTTCGTTGAATACAAGGGTTAGGCTGTTTTCTCTCACACGTGCGCACATGTTTCTTCTCATTGTCAGAGAATCTTTAGTAAATGTTCCTTGTCTATCAGCCGCATTAGAGTTTTAGAAAACATATATACAGAGTCTTTCTCTCTTTTATTCACAGATAGATAATACTATATTAATATTCCTACAAAATTCAATATTTTTCTACACGAATTTTTATGTGTACGAATAACATTATTATTATTTCATCTTTATTTCTCTTTTTCTTTCTTTCTCTCTGTGATATTCAATATTTCAAAGAAAATAAAGTCTTAGATGATATTTTCTTCAACTGAAAAAAACATGCATTAAACTAAATAACAAATTTTAATCAAAAATTTGTTTTTCGACAAATAAATGTTTATTGTATGGGTTTTTATAGTAAAAAATATATTTTCAAAAAGATCTACCATCTTTTGATTTTTATAATATTTGCTTTGAATTATTTTCGTAATAACACAAACTTGCAATTAATATATATATATATATTTTTTTATATATATATATAATATAAAAAAGCTATATAATACTTGTTCATTATCTATAAGAAAAGATAGCTTCTTTTGTCTAACAAATCAATTGCCTACAGCATTATTTGCCTACATTACTTTTGCTGACAATTCGTTTGTGAACAAAAATTATTTACTACGGCTTGATTACCTACATACATATTTGCACACAAATAAAAATTTTAGAAACGGAATTACTTTTGCTTGTATGTATTATTACCTACAAGCATGTACTATTCTCTCTACTTATAAAACACAAATTATATGTTTTAAAACAAATTCTCTAAAAATACATATTATTTTCTTACTTAACTTTAATTTTATATTTATGCGTAAAAGTACATGTAGGCAATAATAGATAGGCAAATGTGATTTCGTTTCTGAAATTTTTATTTATAATATGTGTAAAAGCGTATGTAGACAATCGATAGACAAATGGGATTCTTCCCTATGAGAATAAATGTAATAACAAGAATTTTATTCCTCTTTTATTTATGTAAAATTTAAAGTAATATATTAAATAATATATTATAATATATTAAAATATAGATAATATATAAAATATAAAATATAAATAATATATTAAAATAAAAAAAATTTATACATATTAGTAACATTTAATTTTAAAAAAGTTTACTTATTTATAAAAAATTTCTGTTTTTCAACTAATGATATTTACTCATTTTAGTCCGTTAGGTAAAAAAAAATGTGGATTGTTCAAATTTCCAGAGTTTTTTAAAATAAAGTTTTTAATTTTTCAAAATCTGTCAGTGATGGATCTGTTAATAACTCTTCTTAATCTCCTTCAGTAGTTAAAAATAAAGATTACGAGTAGTCGAGAAACAGAAATCTTGTAAATTATATTATTATAGTTTCTTATATAAGTTGATAAATATTGAGATTTTATTTTCTTATGTAAGTCGATAATTTGAGATATTATTTTCAATGATTAATACTCATTTACTTACACATCATATTAATGCGAGTCATAATGCAAATCTTATTGTTAGTCATAATGTTATGGTACTATCTATTATACACACATAGTCAGTAATATAAATATTGTATCGAGTTATTATTATAAAAATAATTTTACTTTGTTTAGCTGTACTTGCTCAAAACTTTTTTAATTATTATTTCTGCAAATGTGTGTATGCATAACTTCCAAAAGGGCTCCGCACAGATTTTATGGAAAATGTTCCTCGATTAAATTGGCTGGAATTAAAATATGTTGTTGTCCTCAACGTCCTGAACAAAAGTACGAATCTTTAAATTCATTAAATACTTTGTCGTCCAGAGACGTTTAAAATTGAAACTATGGTTGTACTATGCTTCTTCACGAACCAAATACAACATAAATCTCTCTCTCTCTCTCTCTCTCTCTCTCT